CAAGGCTTAAAGCAGCAACAACGCTACACATAAAAACTGATGATGGTGGAAAAATACACCGAAACGTATTTTGATTGATAAATAGCGACAATAAACAAGACAAGTTTTCACAGTTTTCGAGACATTTACTTTTTTTTCACACTGGCATCGGCCGCGTGTTTTCCGTCTTATACGAGATGGCTCACCTGTATACCCAAAGCGGCCGATGAATAACTAATTCGTTAATTAATTACCCAGGCCTAAATCAAACTGTCCGGTCTCGATTTGCAGCAAATACTGAACATAAATAAACTGACCTCAGACCTTAAAAACTAACCATGTAAAATTACTAGGAATTATTTAAATAAGTTAATATGGTGTATTGCACTGATGGATCAGTGGCGTGGGACTTTCTGGTCGATCGCAACCACCGCTATATACATGGGGAGCAGGGGTGTACGAATATTTTGATTTTCCTCCTGAAATTTTGGGTTCAAATGCTCTATACAGAAAAATCGGCAAACAACCCTCTCGGCCCGAATTTCGAATAAAAAAATCCAGTCCCATTCCTCATGTCGCTATTGGGCGATTTATCACATGGAGTGGTGGGGGGCGGCTCAGTCGCCCCGGCACTCCGTCATCGGCTCCATCTTGATGGAGGGCATCGTGTCTTTCGGCCTGGGCGTGTTCGAGCCGTGGATCGGCTTCACCAGATCCTCAATGTCCTCCTGAAAGAGGCTCTCGGGGCGCGGCGACGTAAAAGACCTCGACGGCTTGTAGGTCATGCCCGACACTCCAATGCCCACGTCCATGTTGTTGCCTGCAAAACGAGCCGACCGAAATGCTGACGAAATGAACTAATTAAGAATGAGTTAATTAAGAACGTACCGATGTTCATGTTAATGGCGGGCTCCATCGTGCTGGAAACAGTGAGACCCAGAGGGGACGAGATCGGACTCTCCATGCCAGCGGACTCGGCCGGGCTGATGCGCAGGTCTTGTATGCTACCAGCGGGACTGCTCATATTGCGCATGCTCGCCATGTGGCTCATGCTCATTGGCGGCGCACCGTTGCTGGGCAGCGCCACGTTGCCGCAATGCCCCGCTAGCGCCAGCGTGTTGACCAGACTGGCCACCGGATTTGTATCGTGCGCTGAGCTCTGGTTGTGGGCGGCGGCAACCTGAAACCCGCAAAAACGCTGCACTCCTGAGGGGCGCAGCCGTCGATCGCCTACCATGCTGCACATTTGCTGGCGCAGCCCTTGCGCGACTGCAGCCACGGCGGCCGCTGCGGCTGCCCCCGGCGACACGTTCGGATCGGCGCCGTTGCTGCAGCTGTTGTTCTGGTAGCTCTGGATGGTGACGCCGTCCTAAAATCAGCCCCCCCCACCAGTTAGACGCCGCCCTGCACCTGCAGGCTCACCCCACTTACATGCAGTCTCGGATAGGGAATGTGGGGCTCGTCCTTGATCTGGTGCGAGTCGCGGAACACCACCGCCCTGATCACGCCCCTGATGTGCTCGTCCGGCCACACGCCCAGCAGGATCCTTTGCGGCCGCCCTCTGCCCTTCGGTCGCAAATCTGCAAAGCCAAAAATCCCAACTCATTCGAAAATCAATTTTTCCGCGTGTCGCTGGGCAACGTTTCGCCGGCAAACGCGAAACTGCACTTACCAGATCCGCCGTCGGCCGACGGGCCCAACATGTTGTGCACCCGATTGGCGTACAGCACGAAAGTGGGATACGGGATGTCGTACTTTCTGGCCGCCTGCGACAATGAGAGGCCCTCCTTCAGGACGGAAAAAATCGCCTCGGCCATCGTCTCGGGCCGCCACGACTTCAGCGGGCCGCGCTCGCGAAACCTCAAATTGTGCACGAGGCTCTGATTGGTGTTCCAGCATTTCTGCCACATCGACTGCAACTGGTACTGGTAGCTGTCTGCTAGAAGAAAAACCAGAAATATTCATATTAGTCTACATACATATGCAAGTCTGCTGGCCACTCATTTCCCCAAACAGCCAAACAAATTGAACCAAAAACAGAGGAGCTTTGAAGTTGTCCACAACTGAATGCAGGGGACTCTGATAAGTATGCAATATGCACAGTACAACTTCCAATAGAGAGTTCTCGTGGCCCGCGGTACAAAGTGCGCAGTGCTCCATTAGGAAACGCTTAAAACAATGATTGTTTGAGCCATCCTGCACTCAACTATGGACGTTCCCAAATATGAAATTGCTGGCAATCGCAAGAACAAACGCACTTAATAAAAAACTGTGTATCAGACCCTATTAAACCCGTAAATATTCCGGTCAAATACAGTTAAAATAGAAAAAAAAATGCATATTACCATGTAGGAGTCGATACCTGAAACAGAAGAAGCAAACAGTGATTAACACCCAAAAACAAAAAAACCCTATCATCAATAAAACCTCAAGTTTTGCGCGGTTTCTCGGCATTGAGTGCGTCAATGGCGTGTTTCATTCCAGTGACTCAACCGGCTAATTGAACTAAATTAAATAAGAGATTAATTAAACTTAATGGTTCTTTATTGAAATTACTTTTCGTACAAAATAACGTCGAGTACAATGGGTGCTCGTTACCGGCTCGATGGAGCACCAAATCTTATCAGCTTGGCAATAATAGCCAATCAGAAAAGAGCAAAAATCCTAATAAAACTATACGGCGAAATTATTGCTAATTACCATAACACAAGGTTTTGCACCGACCAAATCGATAAGGAAATAATGGGCTGATCGAATCCTGCAACCCTTGCGGCCTTACACTAACTTTAGAACTAAGTAGGAATGTTTTCAACAATGGCCAACGACAAACAATTGAGCGAACTCGGCTGGATTATAATAATAATAATAATAATAAGTCGGTGTATAAAAATAAACATCTCTTAACACTCCAATATTTGATTGAAAACGCATCCTAACAACAAATGAAACTCTTGAAATCGATAGTTCTACTAATAACCGTTAACAATACATATCACTGCGTTGGCATTAAGGCACTCGTAACAATGTTGAACAATGAACTTTAAAATTCATACTTTTATCAACAACAATACTAGATCTAGTCTAAACTGGAAGTGTTAATCGGTTTAGTTGCACCAAAATCATTGAGCTTCCTCAAAGGCAAAACCAAACGGAACTGGCACTATAGAGTCGGTCAATGCGCGCCGTTGCCGAATCAACCCAAAACCCGCCCATTTTTATACTGTAATTATAAAACTTGCCACGAATTCGCTAATCAATGTATAGCTGGCTCAAATGAAGGGCATGAAACTAAAAGTATCTCAAATGGAAATTTGCTGGTTGCAGTTAATCAAAAAAAAAACTTCTGTCGAGTAAAAACTAGAAAAGAGCCCACACCCTGTAGCTCGCTAAGAATACCCGAGAAACAAAAAAAATGAAAATGACCCCACCGCTCCCTTAAATAATAGAAAACGATTTAAGCAGGAATAATTCAGCTGGTGTGAATAAACGCCTCGCGCGGCAACGCTGCGCTTGCCGGCCCCCTTCGAAACTATATTGTATAGTGCGTTGCGTTTGGTTTGGCCTACCTTAATCTAATCGACGAGTATCACTAGGCAGTTTTCGCGTGCTTAACAATATCATCATGCGCATCAGACTTCTTCAAGTTGAATTATTGCTTAAATAAATGGGATTACGTAAAAGTCCTTCAAGCCCCGATGGGAGGCAATGTGAAGGCAAATAATAATAAAAAAAAACAAAAAAATCACCCGTTATACGAGTGACTCAAATCGAGCGAGTTGAAAGATCCATTATTATTGCTCGTGTCGTAGTAGAGTGAGACGATGCTGTGCTTCTTGCAAAAGGCCCACCACCATCGAAAGCCCGACAGGCCGGTGAACATGAATTCCGGATCGCGCAACCTGCGTAGGTTCTCAACAAACGTCAGCACCTCTTTGAGGCTCTTTTTGGTGCGCCGATTGTACGGGGAGATCGAAACGTCGCAGCAAAACTCCAAAACGGCGCTCTCCTCATTAGCGGTCAGGCCCGCTTCTTCTAGCACGGCCATTCGCTTGGATTTGCCTAAAATGTTGTCGTACAGAGTGCCTTTGGGGATGCCATAACGAGAGGCGGCCTGAGTAAAGCGCATCTTCTGATGCACGACCGCTTCGATTGCCTCTTTTAGCTGATCCTGCGTCCATGTCGGTGTTCTCAATTTCAAAAGCTGAGGCATTTCTGGCAAACGGAGAGGGAACAGATATTCAAAACAAACAAAAAAACACGCAAACTTCTTCAGCCTCCAGCCTGCTACTACTTCAAACTACTACTACTAATACACGGTTGAGAAGGAGAGCGAAATAAAAACGTATGTAAATCCTAAACTGGCTGTCGCTTACATTCCCATTCAAATGCGCAAAAGGCTTGATTAATTGGAGATTTTTCGGTCACGCCAATACCAAAGGAGAGCCGGCGGCGCCATCACATTTTAGCTTCTAGCTTTTTAAAGGTTAGGATTTTCCGATACAACCAAGTGCTAGGAAATAATGCATTTCCCAAATAGAGAAATCACAAAAATCGTTGGTTTTTGTCGATTTCGGTCGAGCAAGTAACAACTTGAAATTTTAACAATCATCATAACATCCTAACCCGATGTGTCTGAAAACTGGGAAAATTCTAGTAAAATACCACAAAATGTTGATTTTTGCCGAGTTGGTAAAAGGGGGCTGCTAAAAATGAACGTTTATAACCCAACCAAACCCGCTGCTTTAAAAATGTCTTGCTTCCACCACAGAACAGATTGAAACTTGCCGTTCGCACAGTATTTAGAAGAGACTTGGCTCTAAATAGTCTAATAATTTCATAAAAATCGCGCGGAATCCTTATTTTTGCCAGCGTAGTACATACCAGCCTCAAAATAGATGTTTTACTTCAACTGTGCCCCATTATTTAAAAAGTCGTATTTTCCAAATTAAAGTTAGCAACAATTTGAAACTGTTACAGTCTTTAGAAGACACGTGACTCTAAACATTCTGAAAATTTCACAAAAATCTTCCAAAGTTCAGATTTTGGCAACTTAAAAAATACTAAAAATTGATGTCTTTCCTCGGCTACAGCCTATCCCTAAAAAATTCGTACATTTCAAACTAAAGCTAGGAATAAATTTTAAATTCTCACCCTCTTTAGAAGACAGGCGAGTCTAAATATTCGGAAAAATTAATAAAAATGGCTCAAAATTCTGATTTTTGCCAGCTTGGTAAAGACCAGTCTCAAAATCGATGTCTTTCCCCGACTGCGCCCTCTCCTTTAAAAAGTCCTATCATTCAAACCAAATCTAGCAGCAACTTCAACCTTTCATCATCTATAGGCCACATTGAGTGCAGAATTTGTTGAAAATTTCAGTTCAATTGCGCTGAATGCAAACTTTTTCTGAAATATCAAAATGTTGGTCTGAAAATAAATGGCTTCGTGCACCTGCACCCTCTGCATCAAAAATTCATAACCTCTAATCCAGAGCAAGAAGTAAGCGGAAAGTTTTCCAATCGGACCAAGACACTTGAGCCGTGATATTGGGAAAATTTCAATTAAATTGTACTTAATTCTTGTTTTTGCCGAATTGGTAAATTTTGGACTCAAGTTGAACGCTTTCATGCAACTACACTCTCGACTTCAAAAATTCCTCACTTCTAACGCAGTAAAAGCAGCAAGTTGGGACTTTTTCAACTTGCCAGCAGACACTTGAGTCTCACCATCGTCGAAACTGAACAAAATCGGACTCAATTCTCATTTTTGCTAGTTGCTAGTTTTTGCAAGTTGGTAAATGTTGGCCTAAAATTGAACGGTTTCATACAACTGCACCCTCTGCATCAAAAATTCTTAACTTTTAACCTAATAGAAGCAGGAACTTGGGACTTTTAGACTCGATACAAACAGGGGCGGATCCAGCTTAAAAGTTAAAAGAAAAAATACTGTCTTCTGTTATCTATGAAATTAGAAAAATTATCGTCGTTTTGTGCAAGGGTGGCGCAAGATTATTGCAAAATTTTATATTTTTCGTCCCATTTTGCATGTTTCTCGGAAGAAAAATGAGCAAGAACGCTCGTTTTTACATCATTCCAGAGATAACTAAATGGCCTTTATTCGAAGTTTCTCAAGA